TCGGCCTCTCAGGAGACACGTATGCTGGTTCGGCATGGCAGGGCTCCCAATACACGGCCGCCACGCGGGAGTTCAAAAAGTGGTGGCCTTCCACATACCCTGGCGAGTGGAAGATGCCCAACGGCATGCTCTACCCGTTCGTTTGGAAGCTCAAGTCGCTGGACGTCATCGACGGCCAGGTCGTCGAAACCTGGGACTGGGAGTGGATCGAGACCCCAGGCCTGGCGACCATCTCTGAGGTGGAGGCCATGCTGAGGGACCACTACAACCAGCAGCAGGCTGCCGCGCAAGAGGCCCAGGCGCGAGCGGCGGCGACAGCGGCAGGTCTCTCGGCGCTCTCGGCTGCCGCCCGCACTCTCAACCCGTCGCCCTTCGGTGCCTGAGCGAGCCACATTAGTGCTGCATCAGTCAGCGCCCTTCTAGGTCGTCCTAAGCGACCTCGGCGCAACTAGCAGCGCGCCCACTTAGGTGGTGGGCTCGCCTAATACTTTCCCTTTATACATCTTTCCAGCGTTCTCTCCTTACCTCGGCAGCCCACCACCTAAACAGCTGGAGCCATGCCGCTCCAATTCTAGGTCGGTCGAGCCGTCCTGCATAGCTGAGTTGTAGGCCACGCGAGTCTAGCAGCATCCAGCCTATCCCGTCATAGTGCGGCTCAGCAACCTTGAGCAGCCCCGCTAACAGTGAGGCGGCTAAACGCCGCTCACACATCTCAATTCGCAGACTCGCCACGGCTGAGTCCTCACGCATAGGTGGTGGGCTAGCACATTGCTCGGATCCTGGTTTACCTGCAGCCCACCACCTATACAGCCCAAGCCATCACACGAGTCAAAATCTACCAAGGAGACGCCGCGTCTCCAATTTAAGGTCGGCCGAGCCGACATGCAGTCCGCTGCAGTGGGTCCTTCAGGTACACACTCTCACTGCAACTCTGCGGCGCCAGTCGGCACCATCTCCGGTCAACATGGGATGGGCGCCCATGGTGCAACCGTCAAGGCGCCACACAGGGGCGGAGCCAGCCTAATACTTAACTCGGCAGCCCACCTAGTCACTCTTTTTTCCACCGGCCCCCCCTTGGAGGGTCTGTGCAAGAGTAGTTGCCATTCATGGGCGCGACTTCTCACTTTGCCGCACGAGTGCGGCCAATGCGGCACTTTTTAGCAGCCTCGCTAAACAGCGATCGGCTAAGCTCACACAGCAATTCGCAGACTCGCCACGGCTGAGTCTCCTAGGTGGTGAGCTGGCCTAATACTCTTGTTTCGCCTTGGCAGCTCACTACCTGGACAGCCCCAGCCACAAGTGCCTCGTGAGAGGACCGTGGCACTTTGCCCCGGCTTGTCTCTTTGGCCCTCGTCCAGGTGTAGCAGGGTCCCCTTGGTCCCTGTGTGCCTGTGAGGGGCCACACGGAGGTGGGTCTCTGCTGTCTGGTCTCGGCTAGCGCCCAGGCACACCCACCTCCCCGCCGCGGCCGGCCCGTGCAGGCCTTTCAGCTGCAGCGTCCGCCCTGCAGCACGGCAATGCCATTCTGGCCCTTCTTCTTCCCTCTCTCTATCAAGCCTCCTCCCTCCCCCAACGCGCTGCTCAGCAGCAACAAGGCGGTTCGACCGCCCACGGCCATTTTGGCCCTCCGTCCAGCTCCTCCTCTCTCCTCACGGTCTACTTAATTTGGGTAGGCATTCCCAGGCCAGATACTTCTTTTCTAGCCCTGCACTGCTCTCTGCCTCGAGGGCTGCCCTGCTATGGGCAACGAAGCAGGGCCCCGCTGATGTCTCTCTTCGCACGGCGCTGCAAACTCCTCCTCTCTCGTATATGATTCCTCTCCTCCCCCACGCAGCGCCAATACCTCTCTCCCGACAGTTTTCGGGACGAGAGCGGAAGCAGCTCAGCGTCCATGCTCTCGGGCTTCTCGTGTGCAGCCTGTGCCAGTCCTGTTGGCCGCTGCGCTCAAGCTACTTGCAACGAGCCTAGTACAGTCAAAAAAGTCCCCTCTCCCCTCCTGTGTGCCCCCGTCATCGGCCACGTGGCTGGGACAGCAAGTGGCGCCGTCACCGGGGGGGGGCAGAATTTGCCTTTTTCCGGGTGGCCCGGCGGCTGGCAGCCCACTGGCGCCAGCCACGCGCTTCTCCCTGTGGGCCGCGCGCCTTTGGGAGTGCAGGGAACCGTTCCTCCTCCTTCCCGCGCTCCTTTGCCTCTCCGGCCCTTGCCCTGGCCCTTCCTCTTGCCCTCGCCTCCCTCCCTCCTCTTCTTCCCCGCCGTCGTCGTCGTCAGTTAATCTTGCCGCCGTCGTCGTCGCCGTCGGCGCCCTCGGTATCGTCGTGGTTGTCGTTTCGTCGCCATCGTCGTAGGTGGGGGGCGGTCCTTTGCCCGCCCTTGGGCTTGCGGCCCCCCGCGGGGGTGGCGCTCGAGATTGTCACGGCGGCTGCGCGGCGGCTGAGGCGATGGCCGCTGTTGGCGGCTGCGCGGCCGTCCCTCGCCCCAGGTAACTGCTGGCCGAGGTCAGATTGGCTCCAATGCAGAATGGCGTGCACCCGTTCCCCCGTTAACTTTCCCCCCCCTTTGGCGTTTGTCCTTCCTCCCCCTGCTCCCTTCCCTCTGATGTGTCGGACGTTCCCGGCGGGCGGCTAGCACCACATTTCTCTGCGGCCGATGGGCCGTAGAAGGGGGTCTGCCCTGGATTCGGTCGCCTCCCGAGGGTGGACACCGGCGCGCCGCCCGTTGTGGGGGATGGCACCCCATCGATTTATTCCAAGTTTATTTCGGCCACGCTCGCACGGCACAGTGCTTGCCGAACGATGATCATGCCTTCAATCCTCCCTTCTTGTTGCCTTCCTTTCCCTCCCTCCCTCCTGCCCGGAATTGGTGGTTTCAATGCTGCCGGTTGCATAGCATAGCGCGGAGGTGTCTGCGCCCGCTGCTGCTGGCCGACCCCGGGCTGCTTTTTCAGACAGGGCTTGCTCCAGTCAGCCGCTGCGGAACAGCGTCGCATTTCCCGGGCACTGCCGTGCCCGACGTCATTCTTACATGTTCAGTTGGCGAGTGCGCGCGCCGAACAGTTTCGGTCCCTCGCGGGCTCTATCTCGATCCGCCCGTGGGCGTGCCGGGTAGTTATCGCAACCGCGCTTGCATCGAGCGGCGCAAGGTAGCCGTCGTCGCCTCGAGATTTTCAGCGGGTGGACGCGGAAATCAGCTGTCCAATTGTCTCGTGGCCGCTCGCGTGGATGGCGGTGAGCTCCACATATTCTTTGTTTCCTCGAGTGTTGTTCGGGGCTCTTTTCTCGTGAGTTTGCGCAAGTGGCCATTCGATGAAGCGCTACCTGTTCGGATGCCTGGCTCTCCTCGTGGTAGACGAGGGTTTCCTGCCGAAGTGTCTTCTCCCCCCTCCTCCTGTGTCCTCTTGTGCATCTTACTCGTGCCTATTCGTTTGTTTCCCGCTTGATAGAGTTGCTGGAGTTGCATATGCAGCGCGGCCTCTTTGTCTCACGACCGCCTTGCACTGTGCCGTCTGGAGACCTTGAGAAGGGGCCACGAAGCCTCAGCGCCTTTTAAGCCTCCTGCGGAACAAGTGTTAACGTCGTCGCAATGTCTTGAGGCGAGTCTGCGCGGCGCTATAGTCAGGACGCTGAAGCGAGGACTGTTTTGGGCGCAGGAGGGCTCGACGTTCGGGCCGCTTCTGAGATTCATGTCGTGGAACCTGTTTGTGGCCTTGGCCCGCCGTGGCCAGAAAAAAAAGCCCCTTCATTCTTTGAGATGCGCTCCTCATGGCAGCACGATGTCTGCACGGCGAGGGCAACATTTTGAACAGGACTTGTCGTCCTTCCTTGAAGCTGTTGCAAATGTTACGGCGAGTTCCCGCGGCGCTAAGGCGAGAGCCACATTTGGAAGACGACCCGCACTCCATCCGTGAAGCTGTTGCGCATGTCAAGCTTCAGGATCACACATTGTAAGGAAATCTCAGGCGAAACGCCCGGTCCGGCCTCCCGATACGTCTACAGGATAACCTAGTTATCAGGCGAATGGAATAGGAGGAGGAGGAGGAGGAGGAGGAGGAGGAGGAGGAGCGGGAGGAGGAGGAGGAGGAGGAGGAGGAGGAGGAGGGGGAGGGGGAGGAGGACAAGCTAGGTGCGCTCGCGTCATATCTGACGTCCTACCCCTCCCTCCCATCCCTTACCATGGCGCTGATTTTCTCTATCCGCGGACGCGTGTCGTAGCGGACCTGTGGCTCCGCGCGCGCGTGCGTAGTGGGTGGTGGTGCACGTGCGTGCGTGCGTGCGTGTGTGCGTGGTTGTCGTGGTGGTGGTGGTGGTGGTGGTGGTGGTGGTGGTGGTGGTGGGTGGTGGTGGTGGTGGTGGTGGTGGTGGTGTGGTGGTGTGGCTGGTGGTGGTGGTGGTGGTGGTGGTGGTGTGGTGGTGGTGTGGTGGTGGGTGGTGGTGGTGGTGGTGGTGGTGGTGGTGGTGGTGGTGGTGGTGGTGGTGGTGGCGGTGCGGCGCGGTGGTGGCGGGCGGATGGGCGCGCGAGAAAAAGGCCCGCGCTGGGGCGAGAACGCCATCCTGAACGACGGAGGCCAAACACCGATCCGAAAATGAGGCCCACGCTGCAGCGGGAGCACGATTCGGAACGATTCGGGAGCAGAAATGAGGCCGGCGCCTCAACGAGAGCAGCATTTTGGGAAAAAATGACGCCGGCGCCTCAGCGAGAGTCGTTTCCCGGGATTTCCCGGGCATCCTGTGTGTTAAAAAACAGCACGCGGAGGGTACGCGGCCATCACCCGGACGCCATCAGGGGAAGAGGGAGAGTATTTTCATATTGAGTAATTGTGGAGGAGGAGGAGGAGGAGGAGGAGGAGAAGGAGCGGGACTGGAGAAGAGAGGACCAAGAGGAGTGAAGAGCAAGTGGAAAAGATCAGGAACCAGCGGGAGGATGGAGGGCAGGCGTCATGGAAGGAGGTGGAGGAGGGTGGCGATAGTCTGGAGGACGGATGGTGGGGGAATAGGGAGAGCAGGATGACGCTGAAGATGGACGGTCGAGGAACAGGGTTTGGGGTCCGACGACGTCGATTGACGATCGCGGAGGGGGATTGGGGAAGCGGGTCAAAGGGGGCCTCGCCGAGGTCCTGTCGACGTGTCACTCGCTCGTCGACCTGGACGGTGCGCTGTCTGGGGATCCCATCGAGGCCAGGGGGGCCGCCCAGTGAGCTCCTCTGCTCTCCCCCGCCTCCTCCCCATCCTGCCACCCAGCGCAGCCCGTTGGCTCTTGCCCTCTTGGCACCCTCTCCCCAAGGGCACAAGGAGCACGCAGGCCGGCACAAGTGTGCGCATGGGTGAGAAGAGAAACATATATCGTTACCGCCACCGTTCCCTTGTCGCCACGGCTGGATTCGCTTCGAAATCCTGGTCAGAACGCACCCCTGGAAAGTTCCTGGGAGTAGCGGTATCGGTACCTTTTTGTCCGCCCACCTCCCCCCCAGTGCAACCCGCTGCCTTTTGCCTTCCTGTCATCCCCCATCAAGAGCAGCAAGAGCATGCATGCGGGCATGAGGGTGTGCGTGGCGGATGAGGTGGCGCTCTTCCGCACCCGCTCCTGTCAGAGCTGTGGATCTAGGGAGAGGTTGCAGCCAGGCTCCTCGATGCTGGACAGGCGCTGCGGACTCCACGGTCACAGTAAAATGAAGATGTGACACCGCATCGGTCCTGTGTGGAAAAGGCTTGGGCAAAGAGCAGTCGGCAGTTTGGGAGCTTCGTTGTTGCCGTCACTGGCACCCAACCCTCTCACCTCCCTTTGCCCTGTGACCGTGTTGGCCAAGAGCACCTTTGATTAGGATCGCGTCCAGGTCGTGCGCCAACATGCGACATTGAGCACGGATCATCCGGAGAGATTCGAGCGCCCCTCATCGCATTGGCATCCCGTTGTTCTGGTCTTTTGTGCCGTCTTGGGAGGGGGCATCTCTATATCATGACGCATACCCCTTTCTCTCCCTTCCTCGAAGGCCAGGGCATATGGGTGGGGCAGGTGCGTTTTTCGGCGCAGATGCCTCGGGCTCCGCGCGGCAGGTCGCGGCGCTGGAGGGGGTCGGGTGGACCTACGACGCCGAGGCCGAGGTGGCGAAGCCCAGCACAGACAGGAAGGCGTTGACGGACAAGGCTGGACGGCCTTACCCAGCCTCTCTTATCAGCTTGCAGCATCTTATCTCTACCCCTATGTTGGGCATCACCTCACCTCGGTGCCGATCTCAAGGATATTCCTTCATTTTCTGCGGGCACATCCCTATGACCGTCATCGCCCTGGATTTGCTGATCTTAGGATATGTATGGACATCAGTGGGCACCCACAGCGCTGACCTTTGTCAATCTGTGTGATTCGTCGTTTCGATTTGTCGGCCAGCGTGGTGCCCAAGAGCACAAATAGTGCACCATTCTGAAGGCTATGCGGTGTAAGCTATGTGATGAAAGCTGCGTCGCGTACGCGATGTGGTGTAAGTTGTGGAGGCGAAACCTGTACGGTGTAAGCTATTTGGTGAAACCTATGTCGCGTAAGCAATGCGGTGAACGCTATGTCAAACTCTGGAGACGACACCGGTGTGGCAATCTAGGAGGTCTAGGCTGTGTGGTGCAAGCTATGTCGTGTAAGCTATGAGGTGCAAGCTACGTGGCAGCAGCTATGTGGTGTAGGCTTTGCAGAGCAACTTCTGTGGCGCAAGACGTGTTGTGCAAGCTCGGGGGTGCAAGCCATGCGGGGCGTGCCGTGAGGTATAAGCTATGCTGGTGTGGGTTAGTTGGTTCAAGGTGTGTTGTCAACGTTGCGCAATGCAGTCTGTGCGGCCACGAGCGGGCACCGGGCGAGACCTCGGCACGCCCAGCCAACGCCGGAGGCATCCCCTGGCGGGCACCCGGCGAGATCTCGGCACACACCCCCAGCGCACGAGAGGCGCCCACGAGGCGGCCACGAGGCGCCCACGAGGCGCCCACGAGGCGCCCACGAGGCGCCCACAAGGCGGCCACGAGGCGGCCACGAGGCGCCCACGAGGCGCCCACGCGGCGCCCACGAGGCGACACCTCGGCACGCCTGCCCGACACGCGGTGCCCACGAGGCGCCCACGGGCGCCGACCCCGCCAGGCATTGGCCGAGCACCCGGCACACCCGGTCAGTGAGAGTCCCTGTTTGGAAATATTGTGTTGGTGGTCTCCAAACCAGGTGGTGAGACACCCGGTGGTGACCCCGATTCCCCCCAAAAAATAATTCTGGGTCACCACTGGGTTTGGGGGACACGCGGTCGCCACGAGGTTTTGCGTTTCCTGGGCCAGCCAGCGCTCGAAAAACATGACCCAAATCGCCCAAAACTCACCACTGGGTGTTCTCACCACCACGTTTGGGGATCACCAAAAATATTGTGTTAGCGCACGCTCCAGGATGGCGCGCCCCCCCAGACGGAGTCTGCGACACACATCGGGGTGCGGAGGTCTCAGGAGGCTCTGGGAGCGCTGACCCGGCTCAGTTTACGAAAGATCGTGGCCGTGCGAGCGCGGAGCCAGAGTAATCTACGAGGGATCGTGGCCATGGGAGCGCGGATCCGATGTAATTAACGACGGGTTGTGGCGCTGGGAGTGTGCATCCGGCGTATTCACTGGGGATCATGGCCCTGGTAGCGCAGATGCAATGTAATCTACGAGCAGTCGTGGCCCCGGGAGCGTGAACTCAGTGTAACTTGATATCCCTGGCGCATCCCTTGGCACGTTCATGGCACATTTCTCTTGGCGCCTCTTTGGTGCGTTCCCTGGCACGACTGCGGCGCGTCCTTGCACGTCCCTTGGCACGCCCCCTGGCACGTCCCCTCGGTAGGCCCCCTGCCGCGTCCCCTGGCGTGTCCCGTGGCACGTCTGCGGAATGTCCCTTGGCACGTTCCCTTGATAAATCCCTGGCGCGCCTTCTGGTGCGTCCCATGGCACGTCCCTTGGCGCGTCGCTCGTGCCGTCCCATCTGTAGCGTCCCATCGCGCGACCCTTGCAACGTTCCGTGGCGCTTCCCTGACAACGCCCATCGCACGTCCCTTGCGAGTCCACTGGCGCATCCCTTTGCACGCCTCCTGCCGCATCTCCTGGCGCGCCTCTGGCGCGTCCTCTCTCTCTCTCTCTCTGCATTTAGCCAGTCAAACTTCAGAAGTTCAGGGCTCGCCGATATGGGGGAAACTGCATGATCTGGAGGCCGCGTGGTGCGAGAACAGGGGGAGGAAGAGGATGAGAGGGAGGAGGAGGGCGTCGACGATGAAGACGCCCACCATCAGGAGGCAGCACGCAGGCTTGGCAGATCTGTATCCGTTTCCGGACCCGTGGGCGGCTCATATTCCCTTGAGGTACCTTGCGTTGACAAGGTGAGTCCATGCCAGCCAGTCGACTCTGTGGTCGTGGTCCGCACCCACCGGCTCAGATGTAGCTCGATGAGTTTTCGCCGAGTTGACAGAGCGAGTGGCTCGTAGGTCCTTCTTCTCGACCTCCTAGCGTGTCCCCACACTGCCTTAGCCTATCAGGTGCAAAACTGCACAGTGCAGCATCGGCCGTCGCCCCTCTCGATCGGGGTTGCGGATCTCATGTGCGGTCTATTTTCAGTTGCCTCGTGGTGCGAACGGCGTGCGCGCGAGTAACAGACCAGGCTGCCTGGCCCGAGGGACACGACGCATGTGGATATTGTCGGGGGTGGATAGAAGCCCCAGCAGTGACACGTCGATTAGTGAATTGTCCGTTTTCGGTTCTCGAGAGGGCGCCGTGGTCGTTATTTTCCAGGCTTGCGCCCGCCAGGTTTGCGCCTCAGGTCGTTTTCACTAAACCACGTTTTACTAAAGGGGGGTCTGTCCATCCCCGATATTGCCAGGGAAACAAATGCCGCAGCCGATTGATTCCCACTCTTCGCCCTCCCTCGAGCCGCGGTCTGCTGATAAACAGCCATCTTCGGTTTGGAGTTGCGTTTGGGAGCCACCCCGCCCTGTCGGTTTCTGCAGGGCCTCCCGGGCTTTCTGGACGGCGCTCATGTCTGAATCCGAGGAGCCAGTGTGGACGGCTCGAGACAGTGCCTCGCCTTCGAGGGATAGGGGTTGATCTTGGTATTGGCGGCCAAACCCCACCTAGATGTGGCACACAGTGAGCGGCTCGACCGAGACCCCACTCTGCTTGGAGCGAGACCTTTGCCGAACAGTCGCCAGTTCTCGCCCTTTCGAGGCCCATTGAGTGGAACGCTTGGGATAACCAGCTTGGCGGGGCGAGTTCCTGGTGTGATGCACCCACTGCGGTGGCATGCGTGCAGGATCGAGGGGCCGGCCTCAATTCCTCGATGGAGGGTGGCGGAAGGCCGGCAGATGGCGCCGAGAGCACAGCGAGGGCGGCTCCGCCTGGGGAAGCCGGCGGATGCAAGACTGCCTTGCACCGTCGGGGGACGTTTCCTGTCCTGTAAGACGGCAGTTTTTTTGGTACTCCGACGTGGGCTCGACGGGGATCCGACGTGAATTCGACTCGGCTCGACACGGATTGAACACGGATTCGACGCGCGATCGGCATGGATTCGTCACGGATGCGACACGGATGGTTGGTGCGATGGGGCAGACGAGGTCCCCGTGAGGGGCCCCCCACAGGAGCTCCCCCACAGGTGCAACACAAGCAACAGTTTCGTTCCCCAAGCGCGCCAACTTTCTTTTTTCAGGACTTCATTTCGGGTCGCCCACGGGGTCGCGCTTCGCGCCTGGCAACCTGGACCGCTGCCCTTGCCTCGTTCTCGCCTTTTCGGGACTCCTGGGAGGCCCTCGTCGCCACCGCTGGATTCGCCTCGAAATCCTGGCGAGAACGCACCACTCGGGAGAGAGCTGGGCAGCAGCGGTACCAGTACCTTTCGGTTTCCCCAAAGGTGCCATTCTTCCGGATGGGGCGACGCGAGAGCGCGAAGAGAGCTGCGCGTCACGCGCCGCAGAGCGCGATGCTCACCACACACCAAACAACCCCAACCCAACCCGAAGGCCCCAATTTGCTCTGTATTCCAAGTGGGGGGGACGTCGGGGAGCATTGAAAAAACACGTATGGAACCCGTCCCCCCCCAACCCGAAATTCGGGTATTCGGGTTGGGTTGGGGTGGTCTTGCAGGAAGTCAGGTGCGCGAAGTGATGTGGCCTACCTGCGGCAAGCAGGACGCGCGCAGCAGCACAGAGCCTCTGGTCTCGTTTTTCTCACGCTGCGCACCCCGGTGGCGTCGGGGGGGCGGATAGGGGCCTAGCACACCCCGAGGGCACAACGACGCCCAGGGTCCGGGGCCTGGTGCCGGTCACGAGGAGGCAATTCAGCGTTCGCATTGCTCACACGTTTTTTCGGCCAGTCGGGAGCCCGTGCGATTCTGAGCATTCGTCCTGATCAGTATGCTAGCGAGCTGGGGCTGCCTGCCTTCAAACGTGCATACACGTTCAGATCGATGATCCCGTAACCGATGTGGGACAGCAGGGCCAGATCCGAGTTCGTTGGCATCACGTCCAGCCAGATCATCAGCAGTTTCGTGCAGATGCCCCGCTGTGGTTCTCCAACATTCTGAAGAGATTCTGAGCAGCAACCTGGTCAACAGCTATGGCGAAACCGAATATTTGAGCAGAAGTTTCGTCCTCCCTCGAATGTGTCGCCAGGTCACGCAATTCGGTACCCATCGATGAAAAGCATGAGGACGATGTAGCTTTTACGATGCCAGGTGCAGCGCAGGCAGCACACCGACATAATTGAAATTACGCCAGACACTAACATATCCAGGCTTCCTGGCTCACTCCGGTCCAGGGTGGTTGTCCTTCAGTGGTCATGGGGGGGAGACCAGGATGATTAGGCGACAGTCTGGGGTTTGGAGCTCCGAGCCAGGAAGGCAAGAGCAAGCCAGCGTTCGCACTGCTTTTCGGTGTACTTCAGCCAATTGGGAGGACCCTTGTGTATGCGACCCTTGCACCTGAGGCAGGTGACAACTTTGTTTTTCTTAGAGCAGGGCCTGTAGCCCCCTTCCCTCGATTCATCGTCGCTGCCCACGCCGAATGCCAACCTACCCGCCAGCCCATCTGCCCTCAGGCTTGCCGTGATCGTTCCGTCCCTGCTCGCGGGTGCTCCGAGATCTGTCAAGCCATTCCAACTCCCAAGCA